CTGCTGCTGCACATTCTGTTTGGGGGTTTGTCCCCAAACACTAACATCAACCTACACAGCATTCCTATATAACCCAATCCATTCCTTTTTGGAACATATTCCCTGTTTTATTTTACTTTACGGGTACTCTACATTGCTTATAACAGAGCCCAGTCATGACAAGTGCCATGCTCAATTTGCATTTAATGATCCTTCAGATGGCTCATATTTTTCCATTGCACATTTTCCCTTTTCATTTTAATCATCCTTCTGAAAAGAAGCCAGCCACAAGACCATTTCATGATCACTGGGCATTTGGTGTTTTGCTCATTCTCTCCTTCTCCGGGGAGTGGAGAAAAAAACATGTCAAGCTATTACTGATTAGCTTGATGTAAATACGCATTTGCACATATTCATTCTTTGTCATCCCTCATAAGAATTACTCATTTTGGATGAGGAGACAAGTTGAAATGCCTAAGTCCTGATCATAATTGTTATGATCTGTACTTCATTTCTTTCTTCAGAATCAAGCTCTCCACAAATAGGTATAGAATTATAGCAGCAATGTAACTCTAGCTGCAAAACACTCTCTTTAGGTTATTCATAATATAATTGGCTTGCTTATGACTTAGTACAATGTGTGAATCCAGCCAATGTAACTACAATTAAATCAAACTACAATTCAGTGTAAATCTAAGAAAATCTAAGAAATCTATCCTGTACTTCAGTTGCTGAAGATTTATGTTGTACAAGATGCTAGATAGCAGTGAGAAGGGCCATCAAATTGATATCACTGATATCTATCTGTCTGAATTAAGCCTTCATTAGATAGGCAATTAAACAATATTCTTCTTTTTGAGAAGGCTAGAATTTTAGCAAAGTGTAATGCAGGACTGACAAGCAGAAAGATAGCCAAAAATCTTAGGTGAACTGAGATATTTAATAGGCCTTCTTTAGATTTCTTTTCCTCAGTCTGAATACTTATGCTCTTTCCTGCACCAGCATGGGTGACCCATCTCTCCACCCCCAGAGCAAGATGGCTAGTAAATTTATTCCTTGTATTTGTTGTGGTCCTAAGAGGAAAAGGGGTTGAAATAGATGTGATCACATCAGTCACTTCCAATTCGGTAAAAGGGCCTGAGGACTAATTTTAGAATTCCCTAATTACAAGTCCTCTCAGTATGGTGGTTTAAAAGGCTACAAATCTCAGAAGGTTTAATAACTATGCTGCGAAAGGGAGCTTTTAACAATTGGCCGTGTATAGCAACGTGAAAAGCACTAAATTGAATAGTCTTGTTTCTCTTTTTAGGGCTTTCATTTAGTTATAATAAATGGAGAGTAAACATACCTTAGAGCTAAGAAATGGTCCAAAAGCTTTCTAACATTTCAAATGCAAACCCCTCCCCCTTTCACCCTTGTAACTTTCTGTTAACAGTGAAGAAGGCTGGTTCCTAAGCGACCACTAGTTGTTGAATGAAAAGGTCACATTCTGTTGAACATTTCTCTCCCCTCTCAGCAGCCAGAAAGCCTGCAATCAACTGTTATGATTCATAATTGCCTCATAGATGTAATTAAAAAGCAACAACGAAAACTAAAGAAAGGGCAAGTTTGGTGGAAGCACTACCTTGTGGTTGATAAGAAATCTGGAAGTCAGGCGATACACCAATACTTATGGTTTGAGCTTCTTTTGGGGTCGTCCCTATGTACAGTTCTTTCTAGAGGAAGTTGCAAACTCTTCCCTTCAAACAAGCAGACGTTTTATTTATAATGTGCCCCACTCAAAATTAATTTATAAAAAAAATAAGTTATAATTACAGAAGAGCAATACAATCAATATGTGTTGATGTATCATATATTTATGTACCACATATTTACAGTTACAGGGGAAAAATACACAACTATAACATCTGAAACCTATAAACTCTGCAATCTATTCTCAAAAAAAAAAAATTCAAAAGAAAGCAATGTGACCAATCCAACTTTGAGGGATCCTTAGTGCTTTCGGAGCTTGGTTGTTTTCTTGCAGATGTTTCATTACCCAAACTAGATAACACCATTAGTGCACAATTGCACTATTTTGAGTAATGAAATGTTTGCAAGAAAACAACCAAACTCAGAGAGCACCAAGAATGTAACCCTGAGCTGCCAACATTGTCCTTTATCAATCCAGCTTTATTAACTGCCCTTCTTAGACTTTGCTCATCATCCCTTCCACCAGTCTCTTTATTAAATAAATTTTCAAATCTCTCTTAAATGCTTCTAAAGATGCATGGAGCTTGATTATTCCCCTACTTCACCACCACCCCATAGGACTTCTTAAAAAATCTGTACAATTAGAGTTTTAGGGAGTACATGTATCCACCAATATTCATTTGTGAAAACAGGACCATTATTTTCAAACAAGGAAAACTGTTTCCTTGACTACTTTATCAAGATGGACATCTTACGTTGTGGATAATAGCAGTCCCTTTCCTGGATAGGAAAGATTAGATTGAAATTGAACTTGGCAAGTTGGAGTTGCTGTTGATCAATCAGGGTCCTCATTGCTGCCGCCAGAGTTACTATGTGAAGTGCGAGCACCACCCATCCAGGAACCAGCTCATGATTTGGGTGTCATTCTGGACTCACAGTTCCTGCTAGATTAGCAGATGGATGTCTTGGCCAGATTGCCTACACCCAATTCCATTTACTGCTCTGGTTGTGGCCTTTCCTGGGGCAGGAGGACTTGGCAAATGTAACTCATGTTCTTACTACCAGCTGTCTAGACTAGATTATGCACTTTACTTAAGGTTGCCAATAAAGTGTATTTAGAAACAGTGGGTTCAAAATGCAGTGATCTGCATATTTTCATGGTCTCAACATTGAGAAGCCATTAATGCTTGTTTTGTGAATCCGGCATTGATTGCCAATTAGTTTCCAGGTTCAATTTAAGTTGCTGATTTTGATCTACAGTATAAAACCCTTCATTGTTTGGCACATTGTTTGGACCGTTGCACAATGGCCTTCTCCAGCTAGCTTCAACACAACCAATTAGATCCAGCAGGTAAAAATAGCTGCAGATTTCATGCCCGGGGAGATTTGGGAGCCAAGGCAAGGAAGAGTTGTTTTTCTGTTGGAGAACCAACAACAGCTTCTCCACAGAGAGCAGGATAGCTCCCTCTTTGCTGAATTTCTGCAAGTTCCTAAAGAATTTCCTGCGTAGCTTTTTGTCTGGTAATATTACTCTATTAACTAGAGCATACAAAACATTTGCTAGACCAATACTTGAATACAGCTCATCAGTCTGGAACCCGCATTACGTATCTGATATTAATACAGTTGAGAAAGTCCAGAAATATTTTATGAGAAGAGTCCTCTACTCCTCTACTTGTAGCAGAATACCTTATGCCACCAGACTTGAAATTTTAGACCTAGAAAACCTAGAACTATGCTGCCTTCGGTTCAATCTAAGTATAGTACATAAAATTATATATATTGCAGTCCTATCTGTCAATGAATACTTAAACTTCAACCAAAACAATACAAGAGCACACAATAGATACAACTCAAGGTAAACCGCACCAAACCTGATTGCAGGAAATATGACTTCAGCAACAGTGTGGTCAATGTCTGGAATAGTCTACCTGACTCTGTGGTTTCTTCCCCAAACCCCAAAAACTTTAACCTTAGACTGTCTACTATTGACCTCACTCCTTTCCTAAGAGGTCTGTAGGGGGCATGCATAAGTGCACCAACGTGCCTACCGTCCCTGTCCTACTGTTTCTTTTTTTTTTCTTATTCGTATCCATTTCATGTATTCATAACCATGTTTATATTTATACCTGTTATCTAATAATCACTTGACAAAATAAATAAATAAATAAGTAAGCAAGCAAGCAAGCAAATAAATAAATAAATAAATAAATAGGGTTTTTTTCCCCAGAGATACTTCCCGATTTCATTTCTTGTTGCCATTTTTTCTATTCTTGTAGCACTGTTTTCATTTTTGTATGGGTTTTATGTTGCATTGTTTCTTGGTGACGTGCTGAGAGTTGGCTTTGACTGTGGCATCATACAACTACATTTAATAATTAGATACCTAAAAGTAATAGCTTTAATTTTTATGTACCTATCACTAAGTACCATGCAAAATAATAAAATACTACAATAAAATTTGGTATAGCACACACTACACTCCAATTGGAATCACAGTTTAAAATGTATAGTTTCGGTGACCTGTATGGCCCATAGGATTTAAAATTATATGTTTATATGTTTTGTTTTATTTATTTATTATATCTCACCTTTATTATTTTTACAACTAACTCAAAGCAGCAAACATATCCAACATACTTTCCTCCTATTTTCCCCATAACAACAACTGTGAGATGGTATGGGCTGAGAAAGAGTGACTGGCTCAAGGTCACCTAGCTGGATTTCATGGCTAAAGCTGCATTTGAAGTCACAGTCTCCTGCTTTCTAGTCTGGTGCCTTAACTACTCAACCACACTGGCCTAAAATTAGCACCTATTATCTGTTCAACAATAACTATAAGAGCCATGGTGGCACAGTGGTTAGAATGCGGTACTGCGGGGCTAATTCACTGCTTACTGCTAACTTACTGCTCAGTTCAGCAGTTTGATTCTCAGCAGGTTCAAGGTTGACTCAGCCTTCTATGCTTCCGAGTTTGGTAAAATGAGGACCCAAAGTGTTGGGGGCACTATGCTGACTCTGTAAACTGCTTAGAAGGAGCTGTAAAGCACTGTGAAGTGGTATGCACGTCTAAGTGCTATTGCTATACGCATTGGAGCACTTTTTTGCACATAGTTAATTCAAGAAGCATGATGCTTGCACTGCATGACTTAAAAGGCAATCTAATTTTTTTTTTAATTCAAACTTTTCTAGAAATCAGTGTTTTTAAAAATGAGACAATGCTGGCTCAGACATGTGAAGCAGGGAATACAACTTCTGCTTTCAACTATTTTCCTTTTTTGGGGGGGAGAAACCTTCTTATGAGGACTGTACTGAAGGTTTGAGAAGGATCAGGAGAAAGTGTTTTTACAATAGCATTCACATGACAAATAGAGAATTGATGAGGGACAGGGATACATTTAGTCATTGCTTACTGACTGGATGAGAATGTTCAAAATTACAATGATGATGAAAAAAATACCTTTATGGCCAATGCCTATATATATATGATATTTACGTCATCCCTCAATCAGATATCACATTACTCTCTGTACATGTTGTACTATCCCTGATCTGTTGCTTCCCCCCCACCACCACCCCTTACACAGCAGAGAGATGGGAAACAAAGAGATTATTAACAAATAGGCACACAGTGTTGAATACAGATTGAAAGCAATGCACTGGCTCCAGTAGCAACAAGCACACTCCTCAAATAGCTTGGGTAGTTTCTCTTGTGTTCCTGTTTGCTCTCTTATAATCCCTTCCTCTTCAATCTCTCCTCCTGGGGCAGGAAAATAAATAATTTCTGTAGACAATCTTTCCTGTCCCTGACTAGTTCCTCCCTCAAAGGCCAGGAATGCTTTACGAGTTGACAGTTCAATTCTGAGGGCTCTTTATTATAGGACACATAAACACCACATTATACAAGAAACCTACAGATTGCCATGTATACCTATGTACTTCCAGCTTCCCTCCCAAATGCACCATTAAATATGTTGCATGTGCCAGGTTCTGTATTACAATCACATTTTGATTGCAACAGCTATAGTAACAGAATGTTGCAAATTCTTCCTTCATTTTCACTTCATGTGAACTAAGGTAGGGTCTGTCTGAAGCATTTTCTCGTACTAGTTTGTTGGAATGGGTTTAATTTGCCCTCATCTGATTATAATCTTAATAGTGACTCTTCTTATCCTTCGAGGCCATTCCTAATTCCCATGAAATTAGGTAAAACTAGTAAAAGGCAGACCACAAAATAAATGCTACTGTTATTGCCTACAACTTAAGCCACTAAGACACATTATTAATAAACTACATCCCATACTAGATAATGACACTGCCCCTTCTCAGGTACTTGGTAATACATCTATTCTTGCAAACAGAAAACAATCCAATCTGGAATTGATTCTCACAAGAAACAAGAAACAAAAGGACAATGATACTAACAGTATATTAGTATGAGAAGCTGACCCTGTAACAAGCCCAATTGCCCATTCTATTTCCACATTTAGTGGTACCTTTACCGCTAAATTCAATTCAGATTAGAGCTGCAAGGGGCCTTAGAGGTCTTTTAGTTCAACTCCCCTGCTCAAGCAGGAGACCCTATACCATTTTAGACAAATGGCTGTCCAGTCTCTTCTTAAAAATATCAAATGATGAAGCACCCATAACTTCTGAAGTTTTCAAAATCACAGAGAAAAATAAAACAGGGGAAAAATAACCTTTCCTCAACTAGGTGCCCTCCAGAATTCTCAGCAATGGCCATGTTGGTCGGGAAATTCTGAGTACCTGTATACCAGTGGCCCCAACCTTTTTTGTGCCATGGCCCGATACTGGCATCACAAAATGATCCACGGCCCGGTACCGGCATCAGAATGCATGACAAGGCAAGTCGAGCCAAGCGACTGGCCAGCCAGCCGTCCCCCGCTTCTCCCCGCCACCTTCAACTCCTCCTTTGTACCTTTGTCAATGGGCTTCGCTTCGGACCGGCTTTGGGACAGTCGCTTGGCTCGCCTTGCCTTGGGTGCTGAAAGAATCCTCGCGCCTTAGTTTCATTCGAAGCCCCCCCCTTCAATGAAACTAAGGCACAAGGATTCCTTCAGGACCCAAACGCCGCTTTCCAACCGGAAAAGCTCACCCGGAAGCACTTTCTCGTCAAACAAGATGGCGGTGCCCAGCAAAGCAGAGGCCTGGTAGGAAATGTTCCATGGACTGGGACCGGTCCGCGGCCCGGTGGTTGGGGACCCCTGTTGTATACCACACCAGAATGTGTGTGTTAAGCATTTGCTGTGGGATTTTTAGAGATTTTTTTCATCTGCTCTGAAGTGGAACATAAACGGTCGAAGGACAAAGACATAAGCTGAAGTTTCTGAAGAGCAATAGAACTGAAACTGTCCATGATTCTCAGGAACTCAAAATAATGCATCACTTACTAATAAAGTTGGGTTTTATAGGAAAATTTGACAATGAAGTATCTGTTTTGAGACTTAATTCAAATCTGGCTTTGATTTATTTATGCTGGTACTCAGTTTTCACATTCATTTGTAATGTTTATATTTCCTACCTTTTTTTAATCCTAGAGGGATAACAGTTGCTTCTATCACAGGCTTAAAAACTTTTTAGCTTCTTGCAAGTTCTGGCAAGTTCTGACAAAAAGATGCTATTACTAAGTAATACTCTTTTCCTAAGAATTATTTCTTGCAGAAATAAGAAAGCACATGCAATTTTCTTTCCATGGTTTTTGTTTTGTTTTTTTTAGAAAAGGACAACAGCATTTGTGTTTTCTTTTTTGCAAATTCTATGACAATAGTTCTACTGACTTTTCAAGAAATACTTTCATACATAATGTAGAGAAATGAAATATAGTATGCTTGTTAGGACTGTGCTCTGTACAGGTACCACTTAACACAAAGGTCTCTCAGCAAAGAAAACAGCAAGTAACAAAACAAAAAACAAATGTTTTGTTCACCAGGTGCATCTATTAGAGATTTTACAAGTTACTAATGAGAATATTCTACTGAATATGCTTAACTAACAATAACAAAGAAAATTCTCACTGGGACTTCCTGCTGATTTTAACTTTATTACTCCCCACCACCCCCAGTCCCCATAGCTCTTCACAAAATTGATTTCCAAATCATTTAGGAAATGTCACCTTCCCGCTCTGCATGAAATTACTAGTACTTCTTACTTACAAAGACAGAGCTCATTTAGGCCCAATTACAACACAGTATTTATAACCTCTTTTACACTGAGAGTACCAAATGCTGAATGTAAAATTGGGAAATGTTTCACAGAATCAGTAGGATATACTAAATCTTAATCCACAAAGCCATGAAAGAAGCATTATCATTTCTTTCCCCCTCCACAAAACACCAAGAAATATTCAAGAAATTTGTTTATTTCCATTTTAGCACAAAGCTTAGAACAGGCATGTTGAACTCATGGTCTCCACGTAGCTCTGCAGAGCTATTAATGTGGCCCCACAAGACTGCCACAAATAAAAAAAGATTATTTATATCGATTAATTATATTATATATTCCCATATTACATATTTTATATGTGGCCCAGGAGAATTCCTCTTCACTCAGTGTGAAGAGAAATTGTCCAGGCAAGCTAAAAGATTGGATATCTTTCTATGAATGCCTCAGAATGTCAAAGTT